CCCTTCTCTCCCCCCTTCTCTCTCCCCTCTCTCTCTCTCCTCTCCCCTCTCTTCTCCTGTCTTCTCTCCTCTCCTCCCTCTCCTTTGGCTTCTACAGGGCCCAGGTCAGTTGCTCCATATTGTCAGGTATTCCCTTTGGATTCCAGACCTCTGTGTTGGGCACCCGTGTATTATTCCTGTTCCCTCCCCCTCCCTTAGGCAGCTCTCGACGGAGCAAGCTGTCCTGCAAGAGTCCCTGGAGAAGGAGTCCAAGGTCAACAAGAGGCTGTCGATGGAGAACGAGGAGCTGCTGTGGAAGCTTCACAACGGGGACCTGTGCAGTCCCAAGAAGTCCCCCTCTTCCGCGGTGCTGCCTTTCTCCTCCCCAAGGAATTCCGCCTCCTTCCCCAGCCCCACAGGCTCACCTAGATGACCCTTCTGGAGCATGGGCTGCCAGCTGCCAGAGAGCGCTTTCCGTAGCCAGCCAGGGGACTGACCCTTCCACCAATCACGGCCAGTGCGGGCCTGGTGAGGGCACTCGGGGGCGGCTGACCCGGCCACTGGAGTCCGCGGACAGACAGGCGTGGCTCCTCGGGCGGCCTTGGCTCCCGCCAGCCCTGCGAGGTTTCAGGAATACCACCTGCGCCGGCACGCAGGGAGAGACGTTGATGCACAGAGCACTTGGCGAGCCAGACGCGTCTCGCTCGCTGCCTTTCTCCCCCACCTGGGGAGAACCAGCTCAGGGGCCTCTTCACGTAGAGTATAACCTTTCTCATGTTCTTGTCACAGACACTTTTCCTGTGGGCCACCGTGGGCTCGTGGGACTGGGGTGGGCAAGGCTTGCTGGTGCCCCGCCTTTGGCTCTAGAGGGGACGCAGAGAGCTGCAGCATGAGCGGGGACACACAAGCGGTTGTGCCAGGGACAGCCTCCAGGACATCTTGGCCATGGACACCCTAGGGGAGGGAGGATGGGGACCCTGGCTCAATGCCTTGGGGTCTGCTTTCTGGGGCGTATGGGCCTTTCAGATGGAATGCCCTGCTGTGAGAACTGAAATGAGGGCAATGTTCTCTAGTTTTCAATGACCCCCACTCTCCAGATAATACAAGTCACTGGCTTCTGGTTCATCTTTTTAGCTACGGACAAAGGTGGAACACTAATGTGTCTCCCTGGATCCCCAGGAGCAAGGCCTCTTTCTTGGGCTCAGTCCTGGGCTGATTCTTCCAAGGAAGAAGGGGCAGGGATCCCCCCCGGAGCCCCAACCTCCTCCTCATTTTTAATTTGCTCTGAATAGTCACCCATAGATGGGAGCTACCTCTCCCCTCCTCTCTTCCCCTCCTCTTTCTCCTCTCCTCTCCCTTGCCTTCCCTCTCCTCCCCTCCTCTTCCTCTTCTCCTCTCCCCTCCCTTCCTTCTCCTCCCCTCTCCTTTCTAAAGCCATGACATAAGCCTTCTACCTCCTTTTCTCTGGAACAAGGGTAATTAATATGCTCGCTCAGAACCAGCTCATTTTCCAGGCATAAGTCATTTCCCAAAAAAACCTGAGACCAGACTCTAACGTTACAAACTATTGAAAAACCCAGAACTAGTTAATTTGGGGAAGCAGCGAGGGAAAATCATTGATTAGCAAAGTTTGGGAAGAGGCTACGTGTATCCCTGTGTTCAAGGGAAGAAACGCCGTAATATTCTAGGAGGTGAGGTATTGGCTGGAATGAGCCAGCTGGGAGCCTACTGGCTCTAGGTCTGTCTTGGAGAAATCCTGGGGGGAGGGCAGAGGGGCCCGTGTCAGAGCAGAAACCCTGGCTTGTGCAGTTGTCCCTTTCTAACTTCCGTGAGAGACCTTCCCCAGCTCCCTCAGCCTCCTCCACCCCAGGCAACCTCGGGGCCCAGAAAAGCAGGGCTGTTTTGCCCTTGTCTTTGAATCGTCGCTGTGGTGCCAATGAGCCGGGCGTCCGGGAACCCTCCAGGAGCCGCCATGCAGACTTTGGACACCAGGGGGCGAATCGAAGTTCAGGAGGCATGTCAATTTGTAACAATTCCTTCTTTTGTCTCATGTTTAATCTCCAGTGTTCTGTTGTATGTGTAATCTTTCCAGTTGTAGGGATGGTTGGAAAGCCAGCTCCCTTCAGGCTCCAAGTGGGAGTAGGGGCTACTGGAATCTCTGCACCCCCGTGGAGCTGTCCTTGGTCTGGCCAGCTCCCGGGGGCCAGGCATCCCAGGACACGGAAGGCTACCACAGGGCTGAGGGGTCTGGGGCCCCATGTGTTGCTCCATTCTTGAGTCAGATGGGAGACAGCAGCGGAGGAGGAGGAGAACAGCTCTTTCAAGATGCTTTTCCAGGTCCACGTTGTAGGACAGTGCTGAGAAGAGGCACGGGGGCCTCAGCTTGAGCTACCCCCCCCGACTGTGCCCACCTGTACTGCCCTCCCCACAGTCGTGTCGTCCCCACCACCACCCCCCACCCCACCCCCACCCCCCATCAGGCCCTCTCACCTCGGAGAACCCGGCCCCCACCCCACCCCAGGCATTCTGAATGCGGTCCTAAAAGGTGGGTCCTAGGAGCTAGAATTGGACCCTCACAGCTGGCTGGTCCTTAGAGCTTCTGCTTGCTCTGAATTAGGGGGCTGGGGCTTGGGAAGGAGCTGATGTATTTTGATTTGGGTGTGTTAAGATAATAAATAAAATTTTGACTTAGCCTTCTTGTTGCTGCCTATTCTTCTATGCTTCTCAAAAAATGAGCTACAGAAAGTAGCTCCTGGGTGACTGAAGTGTGACTGTTGGGGGATTTAAATGAACAACCCCCGGGGCTTCCAGCTGGAGGGCTAGGATGCTCCAGGTGACACTGGGTGAGTGACCTCACTGACTGGGTTTTCTCATCCATGGATTGGGTGACCTCTGAGAGTCCTTCCACGTGGAGGGTTCGGACTCTTTTGACGGTGCCTTTATGTTCCAATTTTGTTTCCATGGAGTTGGGGAGACAGTCACATAGAGGAAAGGTCGTTGGCTTTAGGAGGACCAGGTTCAAATCGTGCCTCAAGCTCCCGCCTGTAGGACCTTGGGCAGGTCTCCACCTCTCTTGGGCCCTTCTTCTTCCATAAGCAGGCGTGGTGGGTTAGGTGCCTTCTCAGGCACCTTTCAGTTTTAATAGCCTATGGACTGTGGCACTCTACCAGGAATTTGGGGTAAAACTTACCCCCTTTTCCCTGGAAGGAGCCCAGTGGAGCATGGTCCAGGCAACACAGGGCTTGGGGACCTGGGATTGTCTCGCTGCTCAGACGCTAACCAACTAGGTAGTTGGAGCAAGTCACCTCTATCCTCTGTTCTCTCATCGGTAAAATGGGCACAGTAACCCTAGGCTGCACCTTAGGGTCGTGGTGAGGCGAGAGGGTGTGCCGGGATAGCGCTCGGCTGTCACTATGGGCTCTGGGTGGGAGGTGTGAGTCAGGGTTCCAGCCCTGCCCTACCTATTTGACCAGTTGTGTTCCTAAGCCACCTTGCTTAGACCAGCCACCCCCTGTTGGGAGGTCCCAGCGTCCTAGAGAAGAGCAGGGCAGGCCTTGGCGCCCCAGTGCGCCCTGCCAGGCCTTAGACCACAGGGCCAGCTCCATGCCCAGATCCAGGGATCATGGAAGCCAATCAGAAAGTGGGCTCGAGCCTTCTTCCCCAGCAACGCTAACAGGAAGCAGCTGGGGGTCCCATGGGGTGGGTGGCCACCCAGCTTAGCCCAAGGCTACTCAAGCCATTTACCTTTGAAACAAACTTGATGTTTTATTCAGTGATTACATTGCTCAACTCCATATATATATGAGTGTGTTCATTCAGGTCCAATAGTCAGAAGCACATACATGGAAGAAAGCCCTTTCAAACCATATCTTATGTGGAGACATGAGGACAGGGGAGGCCCTGCTCCTGTACCTTACGGCTTCTGGACTGCTTGGGGCCCTTGTCTGAGACTTACACATGGGGACAGAAAGTTTGACAGCAGCCTTTGGCTAAGCACAGATCCAAATAAGCCAGCAGAGCTGTGACCGCCCTGCCTTAGTTTCCCCATCTGTAAAATGGGGGAGTCACAATAGCACCTACCTCCCAGGGCAGTTGAGAGGCCCAAAGGAGACACTATTTGTAAAGCACCTTGCAAACCTCAAATGGCTACATCAACATCAGCTGTTAGTGTTCAGAGCTCCCTCCATGAGCCCAGGCCTTTGAATGACTGACCCTCTACGCCCCGCCTGCCTTAGGAAAACTGCACAGTGGTGGCTACGGTGGTCTGCCCACGCAGGTTCTGAGCTGTACACATGTAGTAGCCGGCATCAATGGTCTCAAAGTCCTGCAGCGTGAGGACGCTCCGGGACAGCCGCGTGGTGCGCCCGAGGCCCCGGCTGACCAGTCTCCACATGTCCTGGATCGTCACGGGCCTTTCATCCTGTTTCACAAAACAGGGTGCACATGGGTGCCTGAGACAGATGTGAGGTGTGGGAGCCCTGGGGAGCAGAGGCTGGTCAGGGTGCCCAGCACACTCCCAATCCCAAAGGCTCTACACTGTTGAGGGTGACTATCCCAGGTTCTCAGGATTCCGAGAGCCTACCTCCCCTAAGACCCACAGCTCACAGGCTCCCTGGAGCTCTGGGAGGAGGAGGAAGAACTGGGGACTCTGATGGTCAGCAATGGAGAGCGCCCAACCTGGTGACCAGACTCCTCAGGGCACTGCAGTACGCAGGGGAGGGGGGGAGCAATGTCATCGGGTCCAGGTCTGGTCCTTGGCTTTGCCATTGACTACCGGCACAGCTCTTCTCCGAACCTCAATTCGCCCATCTCTAAAATGAGGCCACTGCTCTCTAAGCTCCCTCCTCGTTCTAAATCCTTTGGCGGAATGGTTTAGAATCGCATTTATTTACTTAAGAGCCAAGCACTGATGTTCTAATGACAGGAGATGGTACATAGAGGAGGATGTTCAGGGTGGAGCAGTGCGGTGGCTGGGCGGCCACTTACCTTCAGCCCTGGGTATATCCACCGAAATTCCACCTCAACGTCCGGCTCGCCCAGGACGGTGCACAGGACCGTGATGTCATCCCCACCATTGACTCTGTTGGAGGAGGCCACGATGGTGGTGGAGGGGGGCCCACTGGGGACTAGCAGACACATGAGACTCAGTAAGGGGCATACGAGGAGCAAAGCAGAGCTCAAACTCTGGCCTCCGTGGGATTTGAACCCAGGTCTCAGACACTGCCTGTCTAGTGCTGATTTGCTTCGGCCCCCTCCTTTGGGTCCAGCTTAACACAGGCTTCAATGCCCTGGAGGAGTTGTCTAAGCCCCCGGTCAGTTCTCAATCCCATATTGCCATCGCTTTACAAGGCAGCCCAGAGGAGAAGCAGCTGCACCGCCTGGATGTCCTGGAGGTAGGTGAGTCAAGGGAGGCAAAAGTGTGCAAGGACAGCACGTGTGTGGGGCTAGCCAGAGGCGCATGGAGTATGGAGGATGGGGAGCCTGGAAGGTGAGGACAGCAGGCGAGGGAGGGGACAGTGGGCTGCTGCCAGAGGTGAGAGATAACCTCCAAAGGGAAGTCTGAAATAGCCTGAGGAAGGGGCGTGGCCTGTATGCTCCTCAAGGGTTAAGGTAGTGAGCTCCCCATCACTCAAGGTGCTCAAGTCTGTTTGGCTAAGATGTGGTAGAGGGGACTTCTGTTTGGGTCTGGGTCAGACCTGAGCCCTCTGAGCCTTCTTCTAACTCTGACATTCTGTGGTTCTGAGGGCTACAAGCACTTTGCCCCTGATGCTCAGCTCTCCCCCTGGAAAAGTGGTCATCTCAAAGCTTCCACCCCCTAGAACGGTTCTTTGGCTATTAATTCCAAGCACTCCCTCCCTTTCTGGGAGAAATTCCCTAAGCATTCTCTGCCTCAGTGTCTCCCTCTGTAAAATAAACATGGAGGAGCTGGAAAGGGACTCAGGGGCCACCCTAGCCAACCTGTACCTGGTCAAGAATCCCCACTTCAACATCCCAGATAAGTGGCAATGCAGCTTCCCCTTGAACACAGTCAGAGATGGGGAGCTCACTACCTCATGGAGCAGCCCTTCCACTCTTGACTAGAATATAACCCACTTTCCCTAAATGTCCCGCAGGTGTGAAATTGGGCAATGCTGACTTCTTGGAAGAATCTTCAGCATAGTTCTTACCTTCCACGTAGAGCAGCTGGTATTTGATGGAAATCTGGGGGGCCCCGTGGGCCTCTGCCCGGCAGTAGACCACCCCTTGGTGCTCAGGCTGAGGGTGCAGGTAGACAAAGCCCCTCTTCATGTCATAAACGATGCTGCCATTGCTTTGGATCTCTTTGGCTGGGAACTCCCTGTGTAGGGTGACCTTGGCTGATGGGACGGTCACACGGCAAGGGACCACGGCTTCTCTGTCTGGGTTGAGGTAGACCACGCCAAAGTAGCTGGGAGATGGCACGAACAGCTCACCTTTCTCTGCGAAGGGAAGCGTGCGCACCGTGGTTACCCAGGGTCACCCACCCAAGCCCCTTCAGACAGAACAGTGCGGAGGGGAGGGCCGCGCAGGAAAGAAAACCACGTTCTGCCTTCCATCTCCCCTCTGTGGCAGCCAGTGGATTCCTGTCTATTAAAAGGAAGACCAACAGTATTTTTTTTAGTTTTTTATCGATATCTATTGATTTCTACATCACACCCATTTCCTAATGTATTTCTCCCTCCCCCTCCTCCCCAGAGTTGTGGCTTGTAACAAAGAAGAGAGAAGAATGGGGGCAGGGGAAAGAAGGCAGTCTGGCAAAACTAGCCAACACTTCCACCGGGTCTGATGGTGTATGCAGTGGCCAGCACCCAGGGACCCCCGCCTCAGCAAAGCAGGGAGGGGCCCGAGGTACATTCTCTCATCCCTTCTTTGGACCAGGTCTGGCCCCTAACTGTGCAGGGTTCGTTTGTTTGTTTGTTTTTTCCGTTGTTGTTACCAGTCTTTCTTTTTACGTTTTGGAGTTCTCATCTCTGCTGTTTTCCTGGTTCTGATGACTTCGTGCTGAAGCACACTTCTCAGTGTGCCCGGTGGTCACTCTTTCCTATCACACAGGGAGGTGTTACTGCATCCACATACCACGACTTGTTAGTCATTCTCCACACGATGGCCAGCTACTTGGTTTCTGCCTCTTTGCTACTGCAGAAGCACTACCATGACTATTTCAGTGGATGGGGAAACTTCCTTCCTTCCGTGGGGTATATTCCTGGCAGTGGAATCTGTGGACCCCATGGGTGGCTGTTTTAGTCACCTCCTTCACATAACACCCAATGGTTTTCCAGAATGGTTGGACCAATCCACAGCCCTGCCCCTCCAACACTGACCATCTGTCATCTCTGCCCTCAAAGGTGAAACCCCAGAATTCTATGAATTTACATTTCTCTTACTGGCAGTGATTTGGAGAAATCTTTCTAATTTGGTATTCTTCCTTTGAGAATAAAGGAATACTTCTTTCAATAGCCTGCCAAAGTATATCTGTTGGAGTAAGTTGGAGGAGTGGCATGGAGTTTGGCTTTTAATTCCAATATGGCGGCCCCCATTTACGTGTTCATCTCTTTCACAAGCGAGGCTCTCCATGCTGATCAAGGTTGGTCCTGTGATGATCTGTGTATCGCTGGAGGCTCAGCTGAAAGTCCTTCTGGTTCGATAGGAAGTGGTGGCGTAGGCTTCTGGGGAG